ATTGGGCCTGTAGCATGCTGGGATGAAGGACTACCATGTTAGTTCAAATGAATGACCTTGATCCACTTTCAACCTAATGTCCTTGTTCGACAATCAAGGTCAGAGGCGTCATATGTTTAAATCTTTTAATAGGTTCTTATGAAATCTTAAGATTACAAGTGTTAGATTAATAACAGGTGAGCGATGCAGGCCCATTGGGCCTCTTGTTTGAATAGTCAAACCAGGTCTAATCACATTCCCATGATACTTGGGAGTTATCATAATTATACACTTTTTTGGGAGGGGGTATTGCCCATGAAGGTGTCAGATGATGTCAAGTCTGTATTGTCTATGTACATGTTTTTCTTTTAACCATTTTGTAAACCAGATTGGGTCATTGACAGTGAACATGTGTGAGGACGGTCGTCCAGAATTACTTGTGTCACAGCCGGGAGGCACATACGTAACACTTTACCATGATACTGAGGAAGAGGATGCTAACATTCACAAGTAAGCAACTGTGGCAGATAAACACTGGCTGTCCTTGCTCATGTATTTCCTGCCTCACTTCATTTGAACCCTACCACATAATGTGCCTCACTTTGAGTAGATCTCCTGCAGTCGCTCTCACTATGGACTCGATTCACTCTCACTTTGGTTATCATCCCTCAGTCATGGCCCTGTTTCATAATGGACATTCTCTTTAAAATACTGTTCTCTCTCACTGTGAACCTTGCTATGGTTCCTCCCTCTTTCTAGTTGGTAAGTAGTCTTCCTTCGCATTGACCTCCTCCATTTTCTCCTGCAGCAGGACGGTCAGGTCGTAGATCTTGACCTCCCCCCCCACTAACTGTTATTCCACAGTGTCTCATTGCATTTATTCCTCATTATATTCACTTCAGTGTCACCGTATTTATCTTTAAAACATGGTGTCTCCATGTATCAATGACCACTTTGTGTGTCAGGGTATTTGTCCACTAATATATTATCACAGCAGGACAAATAATTTCTTCAGATAGTCTGCCCCAATTTTGTACTTTCAAGTAAGATATGTTGTCATTATCATGAAAAATAAAATAAAGCCTATGAAACCAGACAAATTAGCCACATATATATATATATATTTACATTTGCGCTCCAACCTATATGCAAATTACAAGCAGAAATGCAATTCATTCGAGAATGAATTAAAGTATAAACTCTCTTGACGTAAAACGTGGTTTACTTATGATGTCATAGATTAACCTTGTTCAATGAGAGTCTTGTCGCTTCACTTCGGATAACATTGAGAATGCCCCTGTGTCAAACGCTCAAATGACTACGGTTAATTATTAGCGCCAATTTTATTTAAATATGGTTGTTGTTCCGCCAATGTCGTTTAAAGAACGACTCATATGCATAACGCAGTAAATAAATAAATTATTTAGGAACAAATAAATAAAATGAAACAATTGTTCTATAGTAAAAATGTAAATATATGGATTGAACAGCGTTTTTTAAATTATCGTGACGGTATGAACGCAAATCGGTCACATCCCTATTTAACATGCTTTATGCAATATGGATGTAACCGATTTGTGTTCATACCGTCATGAAAATTTAAAAAATACCTTTTAATCCCTATATAACCTTCTAATAGCATTACTTCCGATATGACTGCTCAGAACCTGTTCAACATCAAGACAATTGAAGATAATTATAAACACCTGTATTCAAAGTATTTTATCATTATTTAACTCGAGAAAAAAGGAAAATGGAACCGAGCTCCATAGTAGTCTATTCTGCTGTGCTGAGTCCTTATGTCTTAAAGTCTTCCTTTCAGTATACACGTATAGTTACAATAAATATTTGCTCTTTTTCCAGATTTCATCAAGAAAATGTAACTATCTTAACCATTTCACAATAAGAACCTTTATCCAAATGTAGCAGTAGAAACATTGAGCCTAATCTATTTTGTAGGTTTGAAAATGAGCGTTTAGGGATTTCCAGAACCAGGAACACTTCCATTTCTACTGAAATTGTTGGAGGCATTAAAAAGGGAATCCGTGGTGAGCCCTTTGAGGCCGGAACCTTCTACGCCCTGTGTACTCTTGATGGTAGCTTACCTTTGTTTATTGTATAAATGGTTATATATGTACCAATATATAAGACATTATGTTATCAAAAAAATATTTAAGTATCTAAATTCTACAGATTAAAGATAGGCTTTATGCTATTTCTGTAGCATGCTGGGATGAAGGGCTACCAAGTGTGTTCAAATGAATGACCTTGACCAACCTTCAAGGTCACATGGGTCAAATGTCTTAAAATCTTCACATTTAACACTTCTAATTCCTTAAAACTGCTCTGCAAACTTTACATTAAATATTAATGTCTCATATATGATGGCTTGTAGGAACCCTGCTGTTGGTGGAAAACAAACAGATTCTATGGTCGCTACAAGTGGATCACCAACTGTTCTCACTGACCAAACTGGACATTACAGTAAGTCTGGAGCATATGTAACAGCTTCGATGTATATCTATATCTATGCTTTCCAATTACTTTTCAAAAAGACCTGGGGCCGTATTCATGAAACCGTTCTCATGCTCAAGCATGGATTTTGTGCTCAAACCAACTTTCTTGTAACTCACTTAAAGCATGTCAAACGATTAAAAAAAAGTCAAATGATGACATCGAAAACAGTATTCAGCTTTATGTCTTGTATTTTCTTTCTCCAAATAATTGACAAAATAAGATTTTATTATTAAGTTATAACCGGAACTAGAAGTCATGCTTGAGCACAAAATCCATGCTTGAGTATGAAAACAGTTTCATGAATACGAGCCCTGTACAATTTACAGGGTGTATAAGTTTGTTTTAATTTTAAATATATAATCATATATTCATTTACATTATGTACATGTAAGAAGGATTAGTCTAATTAAAATATATAATATTATTTTTTTTTTATTTAAAGAGGATTGTGAACAGCCCAGATACTACTGTATAAGTCATTCTAAGTTTTTGTGTCTGTGCAAAAGAATGTAAAATAGTGAAATTTGTTGACAGGGTAACGGTAAGGAGGAGGTTGTGTGCTGTGCCTGGGATGGGCAGACCTACATTGTGAACCACACGAGAGATGTGGTCCGATATCACTTTGAGGAGAATGTCAAGGCATTCACCGCTGGTATGATATATTTATTCAGGTCATATGAAATACCAGGTGCCATGTATTATCCAACCATGATTATTAAACCAAGGTTGCTTTATGTTATAGGTTTCTTAACAGAACAAACATAAATATAATGGTATGTATAGTGTTTATGTTTTCTCCAACATTGGCTAGTCAGAGATTGATTTTATTGCTAGCAAATTCTTTTATTTCTTTCCAGCATCATTTAATTTTACAAGAGCATCTTCATCCTTACTCATGGAAATGTATTTCTGAATTGTGTAATTTTAATTTAAGAAAATAAAAGATTCACTGCTGACTTGATGAATCTTTACAAATGTCTTTACAAATGATTTTCTTAACTCATTGACCCCTGAAGACACATTTGAACCCTTCCAATTCAAAGGTTGGAAAAGTTCATTATGAAATTTCAGGGGTGAATGAGTTAACCTATTGAAATCGTTTATATGAGTTAACTGTTTGTATATTCATTGATTGAGTGAGAGATTTCATTTTGAATACATGCCTTTCTGAAGGCTCTTTTTATATAACAGATTTCACCTTCAGTGGATATTTGTTACTTGTAGGAATATGTCACATAATCTTTACCACAGTTACATGTTAGAAATGTACTCCTATTATGACTTGACTTCGGCACTGTCCAGGACAGTTTAAGTGTGTAACATTGTATCAGGATTACATATTAGTTATATATGTACTGATGTGATGAATTAATTTTACCCGTTCCAGGACAGTTCAGTGTGACCAGTAGTGATAATGTGCCCTGCTTTGTGTATGCCACCTTCAACAACAAGATCTACATCTATTACAACATTAGTCTGCCCCAGGTGGAGTCCACCAACCTCATCGAAGTCATGGATCGCATCCCAGAGACTCATCAGCTCCTCCAACAGCTCAATATCATAAGTAAGGGCAGGTCACTCTGTCACCTTTTTCATATGTTGTGTTTTAGCCAGGTCATTTTTTTAATTATCTATAACTGATTAAGAAAGTAATACTATATCGTTCATCCCTCATAAAAATATCTTGCTATATGTTAATTTGTATTATGCTTCATTCAATGTCCTTCTTTGAAAATTTGGAAAGATAATGGCATTGTGAATTATCTGTTGAAACAGCAAATCAGACTGAAGTTTTGAAGTACGATTGGTAGTTTAATCCTACTATGAATATATAGGAGAAATACCTTGTATTGTTGAATTGTAGTGAGATAATTCAGGATCAAGCGTGCTGTTTGAGCAACCTATATCACAACTTTGTAACCAGCTATTACAGATTAACCGATAGAATCACAATACACAGTGTTTGTACATTACAACGCAATTTGTTTAAGTGACAAAGGTTAAATAACTCGGGATATGTAGAAAATATTGGCAGGATGCGAATACAAAGCTAAATAATTTGCATGTCCTACCAATTCTTAACCGTTTCTCACCCCTATGTAACTTTAGTAGACTCTACCATGCATTGATATGGATGAGTCCATTATGGTCTACAGTGGTGAAAGGGTTAATAGACAAGACGAAGCAGATTGTATGATTCAATATACATATGTCAAGTGCAAATATGACTGTGTTAGCATTTGGATCCAGACATTCATAGATTATTGTGAAATTAATTATAATTTATTCCAATCAAATACTCGAATTTAGCAGAATGATGTTTTGACATTGGCAGTTATGTACATCAACTGATCATTATTGTTTTCAGATCCAGACACCAAAAAGCTAAGGGAAATATACCATTGGTGTTTATATGGAAAGAAGGCACAGACTTGACACCTGAGTATAGTGTAGGTAGTCATATAGAAATATATAATGTGCGTCATTCCTGGCTGAGTTACACTGCCGTTGGTTTACCTGGCGGGCTGACAAGGGATATGGAAGTCTGCAGTAAAGGGTCTTGTGCAAGAGGAAGAGTAGTGATGCTTGTTTTGGAAATGGAATGACAAATTGCTTGCCAAGGAATTTAATATGTTTGTTTGAGAGACATGACCTTGCATGAAGAAATTCATACCTATTTCCAGGAAATAGCTTGTTTCTTTAAAGGATTTCATTTTGACTTCGATAAAAATAACAGTTGTAAATATATAATTGTTTTTTACTTTAATGAAACATTTCTAGCAAGAAGAAGTTCAAATTTTATTCCCAAGTAATTGAAAAACTAATTAAGATTTTGTTTGGAAGAAATGGCGAATAACCCCTTGCATGCATGTAGTTAAATTGATTTAGAAGTGACTGATATATTGGTTGTAAGAACTTAAACCACTGTTTTTAATAAATATTATTATTTCACGTAAGGAAGTTAAGTTATTATTTCTTTGAAAAGGTTACATTACTATTATAGTATTTAGATAAGTGGGAAGGATATCACTGATAAATTTGATACTAACTCTTCATAAATTTAGACATTATCGTATTTAGTTAATTAAGTTAAAAGAGGAAAACAAAAGATAAAATGACCTGAACATCTATAACTTGAAAATGATTGTGGTTTGAATGCAAAGAAGATTTTTGTCAGACGTAATATATTTTAGAATTGTCCAAGCGTTTTGCATGACTGCTTTCCAAATAGCCTGCGGGGGGGGGNNNNGGGGGGGGGCTATAATGTCATTGGGCTAAATCTTCCTGCTTTTACTTCCATGTAAAGTGCATCATTCCAGGAATATTGTCGCAATATTTGCACATAGCAGGATAAAACACGCCCATTAGTGCGAATAGATGATGTTCTGAACAGTTATACCGGGGTACCATAGTCTGTCTCAAACAAAATCTATCCATAATATCATATGTACAATTAAAACAAGTTAAAAACTGTCAACTTACTGAAGGGTAGATGTTGAATGGTCGTCTGTCATGCGTTAACATTTCAACTTAAACTGAAATATTGTCAAAGGGATTTCATTGATACTTCATAGGAATGTTTCTGACATCTTCCTGACCAAGTGTTGTTGTTTTTCGGGGCGATCAGAAATCCAATATGGCCGCCACGCCCGCCATTTTGAAAAACTATTTCAAACTTATAGCCAAATTCTACTGGGCCGATTTAACTGAAACTTGGTAGGAATGATCAACTTATAGTCCTGACAAAGTGTTGCTATTTTTTGGGTCAATCAGAAATCTAATATGGCCACCACAGCCGCCATTCTGAAAAACTATTTCAAACTCAAAGTCAAGTTCTACTGGACCGATTGAACTTAAACTTGGTAGGAATGATCGACTTTGGTCCTGACCAAGTGTTGTTATTTTTCGGGTCAATCAGAAATCCAATATGGCCGCAACCGCCGCCATTTTGAAAAAAACTATTTCAAACTTAAAAGCAAGGTCTACTGGGCAGATTTAGCTGAAACTAGGTAGGAATGATCGACTCATGGTCCTGAAAAAGTGTTGTTATTTGTTGGGTCGATCAGAAACCTAATATGGCTACCATGGTCGCCATTTTGAAAGTAATTCTTTCAAAGTTAAAGTCCAGTTTACTGGGCCGATTGATCTGAAACTTGGTAGGAATGATCAGCTCATGGTCCTTGCAAATTGGGGGTTTTCTCCGGGCTGATCAAAAATCCAATATGGCCACTTCAGCTTTTGAAGAAAAACTATTTCAAACTTAAAATCAAGTTCTAATAGGCCGATTTAACTGAAACTCGGTCTAGGAATGATCAACCAATGGTCCCGTTAAGGTCCATGGGCCTCTTGTTATAAGTTTGCCTTCTCGATTCCAGTTGTGTCGCTTGTTACTTAATGATGATATTGCTGGATAACTGTAGAATCCGATCTGATGTCGCCGAGATTTAACAATTGTGTACAGCATAAGTATTTGAGCCTGAAGTCTGCCCTCAAGGAGGCTGCACAAATAAAGACTTTTTTAAAATCATCACAGTGACACTGCTGTACCTACTGAATTTCGAATTCGTCTAGGTTTAACAGACTACGTTCAGTTTGACATATTTCAATTTTTTTGACTTTGTTCTTTTGAGTATAAGTAAAGAAGAAAGACCGAAAACTGTCCATTCTGTGAGAGAATGGACAGTTTGAGGCTTTTCTCCTACTTTAAACACAGAACCGCTTTGTGTTAAGAGTTGTCAGCTGCAATTGGTGTGTATGCAGCGTGAGCTATGTGGTCATTCATGCATGAATGCATATTGTTAACCTACTGGACAGGTACGGGTAGAGTTACTATATTTGGAGATGCACATGATTTTCATGTCCAAATACTGATAAAGTGAATCCTGGGTATTTATCAGTCAGTCCAGCTTGGTCATTTGAAGTGAGAACATGCGATTCTCAGGAGACGACAATATCACTTTCAACATCATTTTGGAAGATTTTTAATGTAAAGACATGTCGATTAACATTACACATTGAACAGAAAATAAAAGTGAAAATTTACTGAAATGGCACTTAAATTGCATACATCATAAAACAAAAAGAAAAAATTCCTTAAACAGCGGGTAAATCAATTCAAACCTCAAATATCACCTAAACCAACACTGGTAGGTGGCAGTTAAATTTCAGGAAATGTATATTGGATTAATTCTACCTCCAAGTAGTAATCATTGTGTGTTAAGATCTGCTGGAGTATTCCCGAATCAAGATTTGCGTTTTTCTATTCCATCAATATACATATTTTAAAATAATTATTGGATTACTGTATTCCCTCTTCAAGTAAGTTTTACAGCATTCTGTTGAATTCTTTTGTTCTCAAAGACCTTTTTCCTCTATAAAAACAGTGATATTGACAGCTGGATTATTTCTGGATCAAATATAGCGATCTGTGGTGTACGTTTCAATGGATTATATCTATTGTTGATTTTTTTAACATATTTAAATTTACATATACAATGTACATAAAAAAGCCATATGTTGTTAATAATTGTGGATTTTCTTCGAAAATTTGCTGGTGCTTAAAATGTTTTTGTTACCTGTTACTGTCCATTATAAGGCCAGTAGCTGTCCGTTTTAAAACATAATAATGGAATGCTATAGGTACTTCATTGTACATTTTACTATATACAATGAGAACAAAGGATGATGTCATAACTGTGTTTTGAGATTTCAATATTATGGGATGCACTTAGTTTTTATTACAGCTAGCCTTTACATCGAATTGGCACCTTCCAGGTACCTTTAAACAACGAGATTTGTGAAATTGGCTTTCCTGTTGGTGGCGTTCATGTTTTTGTTCCAGGAAAGGTTGTTTTGAATGAGTACCGCCAACTACTTTTGTCCGTTGATATAGTATGTGGTGATCAGTGGCTTGGTCCTTCTGGTCATATCATTACCTCACACTTGTCCGAATTAAATGACATTTACTTTGGATTCCTAGTGATATCATACATAGGATTATTTGGCTCTTATTACCTTTTCTATCTGAATCCATGATGGTACATTGTAGTTGGTTAGGATGTTGTGACTAAGGAGATGGCCTATTAGGTTACTGTGGAAAATGTGTTCCTTCGGTTTACCGCAGGTCAGAAAACACTGGACGGTAGTCACTTACTTTGGTTTCTCCTCCTTTCTTGAATATAGGGTGTTGAGTTCGTCCGATCATCGGGATATCTTCATTGTCGATGGGTGCTTGAATACTCGGGTTAGCATGGGCGAGATCGCATAAACACCACAGAAGATTCTATACTCTATAAGATGTCGTCTCCTGAGTATTTCCACTCTTCCTCCAGAGTAATATTTTGATAATGTTTCGGTATGCTTACATACTACCAATTACCTTTTTGACATGCCCATTTCACTTAAAATAACCAGAAGAGACTTAATACCTAGCATTTACTACCAGACATCTTTCGCGCCAACCTATGTGTTGAAAACTGTTGGTATTTGTTCCTCTTCCTTAAGAAGTCTACTGTTTCTCACCATAGTTACATGAAAGATCTGCACTTGAACACGATGTTTTGCGTGAGTATCGCAATGACTACTTTTACCGGGAATTTCATCAGGTGATGAATATCGGCCACATATACCCGTCATATCCTGCTGTCCTCTGCAGATAATTTCCGCACTCCTTCTGACAATTTTACAAAATTTGATCTTGATTCCTTATCTTTGAAGATATCCTGCCGGCCAGTTTTCTTCTCTATAACTTCGTGACGCTAAACTGTTAAAGCCACTGAACATGAGAATAGCAAATGTTGTGGGTTGGACACTATTGGCACAGAACACAGACTGGATCCTCATTGATACCTAAACTCCCAGGTTTTTTCAAGACGAAAGAACATCATCAAAATGAGCTGGGTCAGCATACTCCCATTTCTGGATGCCCTTTTGTCTAGTTGCGTTATTTTTTACTTTCCCAGTAAAGCCAACACTTTCCTACAGCACGAAACTGCCCTGACTCCGTCAATGTATTGGTTTCTCATTGTATCGCATGGTTTGTATCAGAGTGGCATGTGCATTGAGTGCAGACATTGTCTCCTCACTGCTATCTATCGAAGCAACAACCTCATGACGTTATGTGGAATTTTCTTCTTCGCTGATTTCTACTTTCCTTGTATCTGGGCTTCAGAAGCTGTCTTACTTACTTGATAAAAATGACCTCCTCTTTCGGTATTGTCACGCTAATGTAATCTCCAAGTGGTGCACTGTCACGGCTTGGCTGTTTTTTATTAGAACTTCCTTAACTTAGCTTTTATGGCAGTTGTATAATGCACTTATGGGGTTACAATGTGGTTTGTAGGATATGGTTTGTTTGTTTGTGGTTTACGTCCCTTTAACAGCAATGTCCATTTAAGGAGGTGCCAAGGTTTTGGCGGTGGATGAAAATAGGAGTGCCCGGAAAAAACCCACCTACATATGTACCTGCGACCACCACGCATAGACATTGAACCTGCGACCAAGTGGTGAAGGCTAGTGATCTTGGACGGTCAGACACCTTCACCACTCGGCAATCCTTGCCCGAAGTTTGCAGGATGAATTTGTCTGGTGTGTGGGATACATTGCAGTTGTGAGGAATATATTTGGTTTGAGGATTATGTTCAGCAGTGCAGATATATTATTGATGTGTTGGGGTATATAAATGTACCAAACTGGGCTTGGTTTCATTTATAGTAAAGTGTACATTGTGAGGACAGGTAATCTTCATGATTTAGTTAATGCTGCCGAAATTATATCCAAACTTCGGCTTCATTTGGAGTCCAAATTCACACCTGGTAGGATATTAATATCCTCTACACTTACATAATGACCCCTCATACCCTGCAGAACAGGTATTAAGTCGCATCATTGAAAATAACAAGTAATGAAATTATACATAATTTAATTAATGGCAAATACCATTCATTAAGCTATGCATATCTTACTAATTAGTTATCTATTTACATATTTTTATTATATTATCAACAATTATAGAAGTACTGCATAACTGTATAATAGAAGTTCAGTTTCAGAATATTCTAATTGCTAAATCGTTGTTGGAGATTATTTGTTGTTACTACATATGGTATTGATTCTGTAACCCGTATATTTATGAGCATTAGTGAAAACGACTTATCGTTCATCTATTTCATCTTGTTATCTCAACTAGAAAAACAAATTGAAATGCGACCGCTAACTTCAGGTCACTGTAACATTCTTAGATGTTCTTTTGGAACCAAACTTACATCACTTAAAGGTTAAGGCAATGACAAGAACGTTTCTGGGATGATTGGATATAATTGAGCATTATATCAAATATATTTCAGGCAGATTATCTTTATCGATTTCAAATCAACTTTAGAAAGTACTTCACCTGTCCAAGCCTACCAGAGCATTATTCAGATAAGGTTGTCATTGCCTGGATGAACTTCATAAGAAGTTGTAAAGGTCTCAGCCAGCCAGAGAAACATATGGCTGTCTTTGATTAAGAATTGCTTGGAAACATTAAAAAATATTTGATCAGGACCGTGAAAGAAACAGTTGCTTAAAATGTTGTTCTAAGTAGGAAATATTCGGCCAATAAAATACTATGGCGGCCATATTAAATTTCAAATGATCCAAAAGTTAGCACCTGATCATGAGATGATCACTTCCGCCATTTTTGTTAACATTCGCCAAAACTTCATTAGACTTGAAGACGTCAAAATGTCAGCTCGAAGGGGGAGGGGTCCCTTGCTTCAACGATATTAGGGACTCTTATCCCAGTGATGCTTCAGATCATATTTGGCATGAATACTTTCATCAATACTAAAGAAGTAGTATTTAAAACCTAATCTATCTTTTCCCGTTTTCGGCTGTCCCCGCCTATCTGGCCTAGGAGACATGCAGAGTTTTCTTGACCCATGCATTGATGCTCAAATTTGGTCAAACACGTGTACCTTCATCGTTACTAAAGAAGTAGTATTTACAGATGTACCTGTATTGGGCTCCATCCCTCAGCCCCAAAGGCAGCAACACCCCTTGTTTAAAGACTACTGCGTCCAATAATCCAGACAAAATATGCTTAAAATGTCTTCAAACAAATACTGAAAGAGTATTCATTTAAGGATTTACCTCTTTATTGCGCTCTACCCGTCTGTCCAATTGGGCTACACTCGTATTTTATTCAACGTATTTCCTCCTATTTCTAAATTTTAAGAGTGACACCATAAGGTGTTTACAAATGCAAAAATAATCTCTGCACTTAACGTATATAGAAGTGGACATGACATTCTCTCTATAAGATGGCATGTGTTTCCTCGGATCTGACGGCGGTCAGTGTGAATGTGCACTACACCACTGACTCAGCAGTCCGAATGGATGATGTCGTTTAGTGGTCAGTTGGAACTGAGACTACCTACAGTTATCATCATGAAATGTTAATTTATATCACCATTACATCATGTTCATGTCCAGAGGCAGTCTGCCACAGTAGTTCATCGCGTCGAGTCATCCGTATCTCCGTGGAACTGGCGTTTACGTCGAAGCATCAGAGCCAGCACAGCTACGAGGAAGACTACCAACATCCCACAAGCCACACCTCCCCAAACTATGTAACCTGTAACAAGAAATAAGTAACATAGGCTACAACACTTAATGGTTTCATAAGAATATTTAGTGTAGTTAAGAGCACATACTTTGTTAGCAGTCGTAGGAATACATATATTGGACCATAAACCATCGTCACAGGCGAACCCATCCTCGATATCCAGGGTTTACGCTCGGTTACGCTCACTTTCGCTCTCTACACCCCTGGAATATGTCATAGCAAAAATGATGGCACGCGGCTAGCTATTTGATTGGTGTCAGGTAAAAAAAACTTGACCAAACACTAGGCTGATACTTGTCCTTTGAAGATTACAAAGGAGCGAAGCCCGTCGTTTTTTACCGTTACGCTACCGGGAGATTCGTTTGATGTATATGAAAGGACCAAACTAGTCTTCTCGTCTCATTCTCAAGGTGCTGAACATTGAGTCTTCATTTTTGCTACGACATATTCCAGGGGTGCAGAGAATGAAATTGAGCGTAATTATATAACCCATGGATATGGAGGATGAGACGAACCTGAATGGTACTAATCGACACTATATATTCATGACGCAAGCATGTATGTTTCGTTGAAATTCATAATCTTTAATCTCGAAAAGCAAAAGAATGTCGTGGCTCATTGCTTTAACCGTGATATCAAATGTTCGTCAATCATCTTGTCATTTATATTACTTTTGTATTGCCCGGACAAGCATTGGAATAACTTGACATTTAGACATTTAACTCCTTGTCGCGACATTCACTGTTTGGATACAGACCTAAGAGATGTGTGCAACAAATTGCTTAATAAACATTATGTCGTCGCGAAAGTATCGGTCGGACTAACTTTACATATGTTTTGGGATGTAACCTTTGTCGCTACCTTGACTTTTGAGGTACGTATCCAAGCTTGGTGCGTGAACACCGTCTAATAAGTAGGACACGGTTCAGTCATCTATAAAGATTCATAGAAACGTTTTCAATCGTTCAGAGTTTTCCCCGAACAAGAATAGCAGTTCGGAATAAGAATTACCATTTTGGTATGAATAATAAAGACTAAGTTTGTTTTGAACACAAACAGGAATTGAAAATTAATTTTGCGAGCTTTCGAAAACGTCTGTTTCCTTTGTCAAGCAAAGAATACAAATCAACGATGTCTCGACTCTAAAACGCTGAAAACAACTCACTTAGCCTCAGTGGGCCGAATCAAGTTCCTTAGTGGATGGATGTTAAGATTGGGTCATAAAGATGACTTAGCTGAAAACTCGAGAGATTTGGCGTCGGACATGGCCAACATAATTGTTGAAGAAGACATTATTTTAACTCGCATGACTTAGTGTCTCTCTTTACCAATACACCAGTGCACGAGGCTACAGAGGTCATAAGGGATAGGTTTAAGTAGACAGAACCATGAAGAAGACAAGCTGCTGAGAACATCATTGAGTTGTTGGAGCTTATACTCAACACCACTTATTTCTCTTTCAGGGAAACAATTTACCAGCATAGTTTGAGACAGCAATGGGCAGCCCAGTATCACCTGTTGTTGTCAATTTATTAAAGGAGCATCTTTGGCAGAAAAGTTATGTTGATGATATCTTGGAAGTGGTTAAGAAAGATGAGGTATCAACTCACCTAAACCAGGCGGATGATACAGTCTCCAAAACATTTCCATCAGAAGAAGAGGCCGACAAAAACAAATTATTTCCTTGATACCCTTATCGTAAGAAGAGCTGACGGTTCCATCAAATTGCTGGTATACAGAAAACACTCACACATACCAGTACCTCAACTTCAATTCACACCATCCGGATCCATTGCATCAGAAGTTGGTTGTAGTTCTCACTTTCCTGGACAAATGCATAGACATCGGAACTGAACAGGAAGACATGGGAATCGAGCAGCGATAAGGAAAGTGAAAAAGCGAATAGAAAAAAGAGCGATGCTAATGGCCTCAAGAAACAAAAACGTACTAACACAGAGAGGAAAACCAACGGGATGGTCACTATCGTATACAGAAAAGGGGTGTCTGAAGCACTTTCAAGAATGCTGCGCAAACATCACATCAGCACGCCCATACGACCACACAACACCATCAAGCAACTATTAGTTCAACCGAAAGAGAATAAAACAAGGGTGGTTTACCACATTCCATGTAACAGCTGCAACCTTACATACATCGGGGAAACTGGCCGGAAATTTGGGGCACGCCTAAAAGAACATCAGAAAGACGTTGAAGCCATAAAACAGCAAGTCTACACTAGTTATACAAGAAAAAACCGGAGAGACAATAGAATAAATCAGCCATTACAGACCATGTTAACACACACAACCACATCATAGACTCGAAATTGCTTGAAGGGAGGACAACTGGATAGTCGGAAAAATCAAAGAATCCATCTGGTTTATGAGAGAAGTGGATTCGATGAACAGAGACGAAGGGGGCAATCAGCTGAATCATCTTTATGACCAAATTTTAACATCGACTAAAAGGTGGAGTTGGTTAACATGTTACCCGTCCCCTGATCATGACTGCAGAACGGGAGCGCAACTGGGCGAAATGTCTCTATGATTTTTGAAGCTGACTTTACTTGGTTCGGCCCACTGAGGCTTAATGACTTGTTTTCAGCGGCTTTGAGACGAGATACCAGTTATTTTGCACTCTTTACTTGACAAATGAAATAGACGTTAAAAAGCTCGCAAAAGTTTTCAATTCCTGTTTGTATTCAAAAGAAAATGAGTCTTTATCAAGCATAGCAGCTATTTTACCTTTGATCCCTTTCGTGACATTGACCTTTGAGGCACGTAAAACTGAGTTGTATGCGACTTCATGAAGTTTCATAAATACACGCCTTTTGTAACTTATTACATTGGCATTAAGTAGGGCGTGCCCAGATGGTTACATAACCTAGACAACCTATCCTATTCCGATTTCAACTGTAGGGGACTTGTCCTTGGCCAGCCCTTACAAAGAATGTTAATCTCAGGGAGGTAGCCCTGACATCTTTGTAAACAGAATTATTAGTATATAATGCATTACTATTTTATTCATTTCTAATTGCAAGGTTGTCTAAAACAATTATAAACAGATTTGCTTCGCATGGGAACTAATACAATGAGCATGTTGTGTTCCTGCTTTAACTTATCAAACACCCAATCTGGTTATACATATGTGTTAATTCACCTCTTTCCGAAGGTGATGAATTAAATATTTGTAATTTAACCAGATAGCCATATAGATCCATAAACACGTAGTTTACAGTTATGATTTGATGCCGTCGTTTCCACATGACGATAACACTCCTATATAATATAAATACGTGTTATTACCTATAAACTCATTAACATCCTCGGTATTCACCGGTGGCTCCTCGTGGGGCGTACTTGGCTCGGACACGCCTTTACTTATCACATTGTTAGTTCTTAAACACAGCTGCTCCTCGTAGTGCACATACCCTATATATTTCACTGTACAAAAATGATCGAATTGTGTCTGCGTCCCCACACCGAGGACACCCAATGTTGCTCCATTTTGGAACTGGATATCTTTTGTTAAATTGCTTAAAGCGGCAAACTGAAATACAGAATAATGCATTTGAATCAACACTAGATTTTTTATTTATGTATATCTGTTTATACTTATCAGTATTATTTATATGGATAAAATTTGGCTGGAGGAAATAAAATATTTGAAAATAAAACAAAAACAAACACTAGATTATTTTCATAAAATAACTTAATGCGGCAAACTGAAATATACACTGAACATTTCAGTGTGAAATTGCTAAACGCGGAAAATTTGAATACAGAAACATTTATTTGAATACACACTGGATATTTTTTGGGAAAGTGCTTAGTGCGGCAATTTGAAAGACAAAATAATATATTTGAATCAACACCGGACAAGTTTTGGCAAAATCACTTAATGCCGCAAACTGAAATACAAAGCAATCTGGAATACAAAATAATATATTTGAATCAACATGTTCATGACATTCGCAATGTATAGTGGTCCTAATCACAGTAATCATGGTGGCATTAAGTCTAATGTTAGTTGATTTTATAATACTTACATAAGTTAACATTCAACTTGTTACATGTATTTGAAATATTTACTATTTCGAAACATCCCCGAGTGCTATATTTGAATGGGGATACTGTGTACCATTACGACCCAGCTGGCAGTACGACATTGGCTAAACGTTGGGCCAACGTATGCTCATACGTTGGGACAACGTCAGTAGACTACGTCAGGGCGACGCCAATTTGTCCATAGGTTCAACGTTGTAGAAACGACAGATCTAAACGTAAGAGTATACACGTTGAACCAACGTTGGATAAACATCAGGTTAACGTAAAAGTATACACGTCGATTTAACGTCGGATAAACGTATGAGTATACACGTCGAACCAACGTTGGATGAACATCAAGTTAACGTAAGAGTATACACGTCGATCTAACGTCGGATAAACGTATGAGTATACACGTCGATCCAACGCTGGATAAACATCAGGTTAACGTAAGAGTATACACGTCGAACCAACGTTGGATAAACGTAAGAGTATACACGTCGAACCAACGTTGGATAAACATCAGGTTAACGTAAGCGTATACACGTCGATTTAACGTTGAATAAACGTCAAGTTAACGTATGAGCATGCACGTCGAAGCAACGTTGGATAAACATCAAGTAAACGTATGAGCATTCACGTCGGTCAAATGTTGGATGAACGTCATGTTAACGTTTGAGTATACACGTTGATCCAACGTTGGATGAACGTCAAGCTAACGTATGAGTACACGTTAATCCATCGTTTAATATACACTACAGGTTGCCGTATAGAATCAAAGTTCCTACAGTGCTGATCCAGCGAAAGATTGACTTTAGTCCCACGTTCGTAGATTACGGTCCAAATAATTAGTCAATGTATCTGTTGCTGGAACGTCACTTCAGCATCAAACTTTTAAAACTCCATGTCAGTATTTGTGAACATATGTAAAACGTTGCTTATCTATGTCAATTCCGTCGGAGACATGGTTCCCTGAATAATATCAAATATAATTGCATGTATGCTAAAATACTGACGTTGTCTTGACGACTGTTCTATTTCAGATCTTTAGTGTAACTGCCTTGAGTGGATTTCCTTCTACTTTGACGTATTCTCCATGATCTTTATAATTAAGTGTAAAAATAACCCGGAAACGTTGTTATGTTCACATTTTTGTATTTCGAAAGTGACTGTTTAGTCACGCTCACTGTCTTGGGCATAGGTTTCTTCGGTTTCTTATCGATGTATCTGAATATAAAGAGGAAAAATAATAGTTGCATTCTAAACAAAAATAATAATGTCTCTAATTGTTGGTCGAATTAGCAAATTATCAAACACAATTACAACGTTATTTTTTATGATTGCGTATCATGGGTAGTTATATTTCACGCTTTGGTTTTCATAAAATACAGAACAGCAATAATAGGGTTCACAATAGTGCCCATTTACTTTACTGGCACACATACTGAGTACTATGTATATGAACAGAAACATTTCATAATATGTGGAAGAACCTTACATCACTCCTGCATCAATGTATCACACACATTGTGTATATGTAATGCGTAGGAACTTGAGGAGATGCAGTACAAGTATAATCTTTTCAAATATTCATAGAAATTATTTCCAACAAACGAAATTTGTCTAGTACGTCTGTATACTTACATGAACTTGTAATGAAGGGTTTCCGCCAACAGCGTGTGTTGGTCAGCTACAGCTACACGTGTGCTTTCTGGACACAAATTAAGGATTGGGCGGTTGGCGGGAAAACCGATTTCCACTGACCGTCCCGACCAGTCTATATACATTGTATCAGATTTCAACTTCAATATAATCGATGGAAAGATCTTCGAACACTGCAGATGTGCTTACATGAATTACTGGTATATGTAGAATGTACGTTTGTATTTACAGCTGAATTAATTAATATTAATAATAATCTATTTATAGTGTGCTACCTCTGTGATATTTTTTTTTCTATACTTATTCAAATTGATTGATCCAATCATGCAAAAGAGATAACGTTGTAATGTTGTCTGGGTCTGACGTTGCGCAAAAACCATACAGCAGACTATCAAATCTTGGAACTATATTGTTCGATATTGTACTAACGTTAAAATATAAATCAATAAATATAGTAAATGTTAAAAATCGATATTTCAAAGGTTATTTTGAAACGTTGGTTCGACGTTGTACCAACGTTGTGAATCCAACCATCAAAATCGCAACCTCAAAGGTTATTTTGAAACGTTGGTTCGACGTTGTATTAACGTTGTAACCCATCTCTCAAAATCGTTATGTCAAAGGTTATTTTGAAACGCCGGTTCGACGTTGTATTAACATTGTAACCCATCTCTCAAAATCGTTATGTCAAAGGTTATTTTGAAACGTTGGTTCGACGTTGTATTAACGTTGTATACCCAACAATCCAAATCGCCATCTCAAAGGTTATTTTGAAACGTTGGTTCGACGTTGTACTAACGTTGTGCTCCAATTTTCTTTAAGAGAAATCTGAAACGTTGTATTACGACTTCGGCCCGACGTTGGGTAGACAAACCTTATCTGACGTTGGCCAGACGTATGTCTGCCAGCTGGGGAGGGGTTTTGTGATGCAAGATATTGAAACACGTTTTAACGAAATAAACATAAAACTAGACATGATTTATTTATTTATTTTTACTGCGTAGTTTCACACGATAGGTTTTTTCGTAAAACTAAACTCATCAATGTCGAAAGGCTGAGTCCATCAAGATGTACTGAGAGTGATATGACGTCATACTTCCCAAAGCGACCCAGCGTAAGCCCAGCACCTCGTGTGTAACCTATGTGTAGAATATTGGACTGTCCAGGTATGTATAACCCTTTTGGGAATCCCCGTTATTGTTATGTTTATCGTAATCAACGCGAGGTTCGAATGTAATAAAACCATGTGCTTGGAACGCCATTGTTCATCCTCGATATCCAGGGTTTACGTTCACTTTCGCTCTCTACACCCCTGGAATATGTCATAGCAAAATTGAAGGCTCGTTGTGCGCCACCTTGTTGATGCGAAAAGGAGACTAGTTCGATCCTTTGATATACATCATTGATCAAAAGAATCTCGCGGTCACGTAACGGTGAAAGTTGACAGGCTTTGTAGTCGGGTGTCTCTCATTTGTAATCTTTAAATGACAGCTATCAGCCTAACGATTGGTCAGTGGTTTTTTTTTTTACCTGAGACCAATCAAACAGCTATCTTCGTACCTTCAATTTTGCCATGACATATTCCAGGGGTGTAGAGAGCTAAAGTGAGCGGAACCCGTAGATATCGAGGATGACCGCCATTGTTTAGAGTTGTAACCCGCATCAGAATAAGAAAGATGTCAAGGGTATTACACTATAGTCTATGGTCCCCACCTATATTTAGTAAAATGACGAGGTGCTCCTCCTCCTTACCGAGATAAAACATATCCAGTGTCACATATACATGTGTGGCTGTGAGTTTCCCGTGACGGAGTTCTGTGTGCGCCCTATTGTGCTCTGACAGATTGGCCCGTGGATTTGTCCGAACGAGACCCTAATAACTAACATCAGTGTTTAATATCTCGGTCGGTGGAACCCTGTTACAGTATACTCAGCCCAAACCAATTCATCGGAAACTGCCTTTAAACTTCTCCAACCCAATGATATCCTCATTTGGGGACTGTATGTTTACCGAAAGTCGATATAAACCCATAAAGCGTGTAAACTTACTCTGGACACCTTAGTCCAAATAGATCCAAATATAGCTGTAACAAATTATCAGGTCCCTGTGCTCCAACGGCGATATTTTAAGTTCACTCACTGACCTGCTGTTCCAAGAATGAATTGTTTTAAACTGTATTGTTAAACTCCCCAAACCGAGATATAAAGCATATTCAATCAATGTACGTCCATTGAATGTCATTTAATTTCACGGGAGTGAATACCAGCATTTTTTGCGAGTACGAAGTGCGAGTCCAAATATAGAAGTAATTTGCCACAGGAGGTTTTTTTTATGTTCCAATGGTACAATTTTCAAAACTCAAATGCCGTAATTATGTGGCACTTACCCGAAGTTACATACGCTTTGTCAATAATAACTTCAGATTCCACTGTTCTTGTTTGATGAAATCAATCATCCGAAACCTGCCCATTTTTATCAGCCTACCGCCCTGTTACCGAGTTCTTATCTGTATTGAGATGGGCATAGCATGCGACTGAAAAGAGTAAAGGAAGATTTAATTCTTGCCAATTATTTTCTGAGTTCATCACGATTACGTGTATGAATATTTATTAATAAGTTGCTAAACGAAAGTGGTTATTTTCTGATGTAATCCACCTTTTTTTTTCTTTTGTTTATGGAGGCCCATATTCCGGGTAGTTCTGGCGGAATATTTTGTGTAGACTGGTACCGTTTTATCGGCTATGGTTGGCTCATTGAATAGCCACTTATACTCGCGAGACGTCTCTGTTTGATTCTATTTTCGAAGCGAGGTCTTCCTATGAGGAAAAATAACTGTCACA